GTGGCCCGGGGCGCGTTGGAGCAGGGGGTGTTGATGATGTGGAGGGGCCCATTCAAAGCATGAGGAGGAGGGCCCTTTCAGGCTGAACCCATAATGGGTAATGCTTGGGCCTCCTTGCTGAGCCTATCATGGCTGAACATATAACATGGGTCCTTCTGGGGCATCCGTGCTGAACTTATCTGTTCGGGCCTCGGCGAAGCATCTCACTGAGGAGGAGGGGGGGGGGGCCCAGGAGGAGGGGGGGCGGACCACCAATGATATCTCGCATCGCAGGGGAGGGATGGGAGGGGCAGAAGGACGCATGATGGAATGGGAAATCGAGACGGAGGAACGAGAGAGCGAAGATGGAGGTTGCGATGGCGATGTTTTTTCAGCGCTACGGCCGAAGCAGCCGATGCGTTAATTCCCAACGCGCGTGCAAATTCCACCGTGTCCTGGGTCAGCCACGGCGCGGATTCCAAAAAGGGTCGATCAGCCCTACGCCGTGAGAGTTCTCCGGGAGCGGCATGAACCTAGGCTCACTTCACCGCCATTTGTAGGTGGTTTGGCTCTGCGTAGATACCGTTCGCGTCATCGGCATCTGCGTCGGCGCCGCTGGCGTCGGCGGTGGCACCGCGGCGTCGGTCGGCGCCGTTGGCGTCGGCGTCGCTGTCGGCGGCGGCACCGCCATGTGGATGGCGGCGGTCGGCGTCGGCACCGCCGCGTGGATGGTCGCGGCGTCAGTCGGCGTCGGACGTTTCGGGCACAGCCGCTCCCAGAGCCATATCGCAATCGCGCTCTGGATTGCGCCGCCGATGAGGATGGCCATTGCCAAGGTGTAGACGATGCTGGCGCCGCAGTCGTCGGCCGCCATGCGGTTGGTCGCGGCGGCAATCGTTGGGCCCGGGCTAACCTGAGCTGGAACGGGCGGGCGACTGACGATGCAATGAGGAGCGTGTAGATCATGATTGGGCCAACCATTGGGGCCGCGACGAGTGTTTGAATGCTGATGGCGATGCTTCAGGTTATCGCAGGGGCCGTCTCGGAGCCGCGGGGGGGGGGCGCCCCCCCAACCCAGTCGGTTGTCGCTCAACTGTCAGAGGACTGGTGGAGCGCGCACGCGTTGTGGAGGGAGGAGATGGTGGTTGAGAAGGAGGGCGTAGGAGGGATGGGGGATGCGGAGGATGGGGATGAGAAGGAGGAGTTATGTTTTTTCCTTTGCGCCCCAGAGAGCCGCGGCCGAAGCAGCCACAGAAATCCCGCGCTCCTACGACGAAGCACTCATTCTTATCTGAATCCTCGTCGGACTCCCGGGGGCCCCTCAATGGCAACGTCTTCTGCGTGTCATCGTCCGAAAGCGGCATCGGATCCAACGTGTCAGAACAGTCCAGCCCCTCATCGCGCGTGCGTGCGCGGCTCGGCGGCGAACGGCTGCGGTCCTCAATGGGCGGGTAGGCTGCGGCAGACGTGGCGACCCAGTCGGCGCCAGTTGCCACCGCGAAGCCGAAGGCGTTCTCCGCCCTGCGGAACTCGCCCTGGTCGAACTCCTCGCTGAACTCGCCCTGGCGCTTACCGTGGAGTTCGTCCCATTTGGCCTTCATCTCCTTCTTGAGCCCAGTGGTAAACTCCCATTCGGCCGCCCAACACATCTGCTGGGTGCGCTCGATCTTCTCGGCCAGCATGATCAGCATGTCGCTGCGGCCGTCAGCGCCCGGACACTGGGCTGCGATCAGGGTCAGCTCGCTGAAGTCCTTGTGCACGTGATGCTGGAACGTGTCGTCGTCAATCAGGATGCGCGCCGCCTCCGCCAATGTGCGCATCTTCACATTTGCTTCGCGGCGAATCGCATGGATGACGCCGTCCTGGTCGAGGTCAAGGTAATCGTCCGAACGGCCGCTGAGGAAAACCGACATTGCGTCTTGCATGTTTGTGTGGGGCTGCATAATCCGCCAATAAATGCTGATACTTTGGCAGCCTTGAACACAAGATGGCTACGGAACGTGACGACGCATACTCACTCATATTCAGACACACTCAAGTTCATAACTCACAGTCTGACCCACTCGACCTCATACCGATTGATATTGATGCCCAAGCATTTTTTCCACAGCATCACCGCAAGCCCGATACAGAACTCGACATGCAAACGCACCTGGTTCTCGTCAAGAACGAATCGACCGTGAATGTGTTCCGATGGTTATGAAAGGCAGGTTGTGCCACCTCTGGCGGCGAGACCAGTGCGAAGAGGTTGTCGGGCGCATGCGCCTTCTTCAACGCTGGCCAGTTAAACCCGCCAAGCCTCCATTTGCAGCCTGGGGTGTGCTTGATTTAACTCTGTGCAAACTCGCAGAACGTACGCTGCGTGTCTCTGAACTCGGCGCTCAAAAACGTTACTTTCTTCAAATGGTACGCTGGCAGACTTTTTGACCCCAGCGCCAAAACGGCCTGAAATTAAAAGCCCGGGGGTAACTTCATATCCCCCTTTGAACGCCGGTGCAGCGGTAATGAACGGGCCAGCGCGCCCTGGTGTCTGTGCAACAAAAACTTCAGCCTCGTGCATCCGCACTGTTTTCAGGCGATGCGTGATGAGTGCGGCCGCCACCTCTGGCTACCTGCAAGGTATATCCACGAAAACAGGCTTCCCCCTGATAGCTTCTAGGAGCTTGGCCGTTGGCGTGCCCAGCGCGGCCATTCGCGCGCGCTCGGTCTTACGCGACCTGGCCAATTGATCAGCAAGTTGCTTCTTGTGCTTGGCGGCTGCGTCTTCGCAAACAGCATGCGTCACTTCCTGTGGTAGGAGGACGTTCTCCGAGTATGCAATGCATCGTTCGGTATTATGCTTGTTCTTCAAGAAGTCGAGCTCCTTCTGGTGCGTGGCGCCCCAGTTCGAGCCTGGTCCGACCTCCCTGGTCGAATCGCCAGCCACTGTATCCGAAACAGCGAGCCTCGCAGCCTTGCGGCGCTGACGAATGAATTCGGCTTCGCCTGCCTCCATCACTGTTCGTGGTCTCTTAACCCCTGTGTCGACGCGCGGAAACTTCCCCACTGCAGGGCGCCCACAGGTCACAAGCCAAATCCGCCGGGCACTGTCAGTGACTTTGTTGAGGTCACGATTGGGCAAGTCCAGAGCGATCTTGAGAAACATGTCCGCGCTGCACGCGTCTGGGGAGAGTTGGCGACAGTTAAATTTGAGCGCAGCCAGGCTAAACTTCTGCTCCACCCCCGACGTGCCGATTCCAAAGGCCACATATGCAACCAAAGCTGCTCTCAGATCGTCGATGTCGTGTCGCAGCGCTAGCCTCTGCTGCCCTAGTTTCTGTATCGCATATCTCCAAGCTTCCTTATTCGACAAACCTCTCTGCTGTTATTGGCGAGCCCTCGGGAACCCATGTTCCCACTGAACCTGCAGCCTAGTTGGATTGATGTCCGCGGCCTGGCAGAACAGGCGCCCGGCATGCGTTCTTGAGCTGCGAGTGGTAGGGTTAGTCCTCTCACTTTAGAGAGGTCTGTGAGACATCATGCTCGCAGACCTCTCCAGAGTGAAAGGACTAACCCTACCACTCGCAGCTCAAGGTCGTCCTTGAGCTGCGAGTGGAGGGGTCTCTTAGTCCTCTCCTCTCGCAGCGAACCCCAACCATGAATGCGATGCGCATTTGAATACCTCGGGAGGTCGGCAAACTTTTAAGTCCCCAAGAGGCCCCAAGAGGCCCCTAAGAGGCCCCCAGGAAGCCCCTGGAGCCGCGAACGCGGCGTCAAAACTGCCCCCAAGAGGCCTCGAAAGCCCTCCGAAGAGACCCCATCAATCCAGGCACGGTGGCGGAATGGGCCGAAGGCCACTAAATAATAACGACAACGCATGCCATTGCGTACATAGTTGAGTTTGGGTTTTCACTCACAGCATCCGGGCGACTTCTCCCCAGACGTGCAAGAGAGGCCGAATCAGCCAGGCGATCGCAGGTCACCATGTTGGCGAAATGCATCCTACGAAAAAACAAGAAAGTGATGGATCCCCAATCGTCGGTCCTCCTTCTAATCACCTTACCCCTTCCACCGTCCACCTCATTCAACCACGCTGCACACCATGGTCCTCATGACCTATTGCAGCACGAAAAACACAGCTACAGCCGAACCAGCTGGCAACGCATGCCGCATCATGCAAAGGGATCCCAGGCGTTCTCAGGGTCGGGATCACCAACAAGACCATCATCCTCAGGCTCAGGATTGTCATTCTCAGGCTCACCATCTCCGCCAGTGCCTGGCTCAGCCGCGGGAACCGCCACGGGCTTGCGCCGGGGGCGGCGCTTGAGGTTCGGCGGTGGCACTGGGGGCGGCGTCTCGGTGAGCCCCGCCGCCTTCGCGTACTGGGCGATGTAGAGCTTGGAGCCCGTCTGGCACATCTCGGTCTTCATCTGCTCGACGAGCCTCGCGTAGATCATAGTCTTGCGCTCCTCGGTGAAAGCGATGCCGACGCACCCCGCGCGGTTGAGCACCGCCTGCCAAGCGAATTTGGCGTCCAGCGGCGTCAAGTCCACGATGGCCTTCAAGAAAAACATGTGCATGAGCTCGTCGTACCACGCGGGGGGCATTCCGTGGTGCGTGACTGGCACTTGCGTGGAGTCCGTCGTGCGCTCGGCCACGTCGTCCGGGCTCGCGCCTTTCGTCTTGCCGCCGACGGCGGTGAGGTTCTTCTTGCCGTAGAGCGCCTTTTTGTCCGACCAACTCATGGTCTACTCCTTTTCGGCCTCGGTCGCCTCGACGCCCATGATTGCGTCGCCCGGCGTGCTTCCAGGATAGTCTTTCCGTGACCTCTCTGGCAGGGGGACTTTCGTATGTGAGAGCATGTGAGCGCACTCGGACTGGTGAAGGCCACCTGTGCAGCTGCGCAACTTTTTGCGGCGGTTGGCGACGCGGGCCTCGGAGTAGACGATGTTGATGACAGAGGAGGTGAAGGTCAGGACCTCAGTTCCGTCCTCGTCGTCGGGGTCGTCCTCCTTATCTTCTTCGTCCTCCTCATCACCGTCCTACTTCTTCTTGTCCTTCGAAGTCCCCTCGCGCCACGGGGCAATTAGTTTATTGTAGTTGCCACTCCTGCCGCCGTCTAGCAGGATAGCCACTTCGCCAGATCGTAGACCAGGGGTGCCGCCAGCCGGGGCACGCGCGTTCAGCACGGCCCTGACCAGCCTGTGGTAGTTCGCGTCGCGCAGGGGGGCGACCCGCAGCTCCGTGCGAGTAAAGGGTTCGCCGCTCTGCTTGACGTCGAAGTGAAACAGCACGAGACCAGTCGGATCGCCCCTGATGCCCGCCAGAGTGGAATCGCGAATTGCGTTTTCCAGCTCAGCGGCTGTTTTCTTCTCGACGATGATGTCCACGTGCGTGTGGACATGTTTCTTGGTGATCTTCTCCCAATACTCTTGGTCCTGCTGCTCCATGCTGTGAAAACCCTTCGACTCTGGAGTCGCGGTTGTCGTGCCAGTTGTCGGAGCTGGCGCAGCTGGTCCCACTGCAGGGGTCTCTCCTCTCGCCGCCGCTGCAGCGGCTCGCTCTTGGGCCGGAGTCGCGGCGATCTCGTCGATCTCGCGTTTGACGCTCTCGTACTCCAAGATGTCAGCAACCTTTGCCTTCGACTTTACAGCGTCCCTGTAGCGGCCGCCATAGGAGCAAGTGTAGATACACTCTTCCAGAAAGGTGCATGCCGCCACCGAAGATGGGGGCCATCCGACCATCCACGTAGTGTCCACCGTGGGCTCGTCGGGGTAGCCGGTCACAGACGCGCGCGCGTTCGGAAAATCGGCGAACGCCTCCTGCATCTTTTCAACGTGCTCGATTGGCAGACCGATCCCTGGCAACCACGTCTGGAGCAACTCATCGCGCATGGCGTGCTTCAGGTTGAGGACCTCGATGTAGCTCTGCCTGTAGTCCTTCATCCTGCTGATCGTGACCCCCCCCGCGGCGATAGAGTCCTGGGAGGGGGGGGGCTACTCGCAGGCAGTGTGACAGGCCAAGGCCAACCCAAGACACGCAACCAACCAAAATTTAATCCACCCTCTCCCCCGTAGCTCCGCTTCCCCTTGGGCTGCCTCGGCCCTCGAGATCAAAATGCTGGTCTAACATGTTTACACCATGGTTTTCAACGCCAAAACCTTATTCTGCTCAGTCACCCCCCCTCCCGGGCATGGAATTCGACCCCCAGTCCATGCGGCGGGGGTCCGTGAGGCCGCAAATGGCCCATGCAATGCGAGATGTCGTCTGCGCACGGTCGACCAAGGCCTGCAACGCATAAATCGATTTGCTCCATGGGCTCTTCTCCATCAGGTGCTCGTCGCACCACTCGAGCCACTGGCGCGCCGTCTCGTTGCTGAGGGCCCTCCCGTGCACGGTGAGGGCGCTGTCGACGAAAGGCGCACTGACTCCCTCCGTCCCCCTGGCGTACTTCATCTTCTCATGGTAGTGCTTCGCGACCTGAGCGCCGCCCAACTCCCTGCCCAGGTCCTTCTCTTTGGAAGCCTTGAAGCCAACGACGTCGTAGATCCATTGGCGGGCGGACAGTTGGGACACGATGCCCATCTCGATGGCTTCCTGTCGGAGGTTTTGGGCCCTCCAATACCGATCGCCCCCTGATGTCACCAGCTCGAACCTGAACGACGCCGTCAACAGCGCGTGGCGCCATTTCCCTAACACGTCATCGCCAGCTTCTTGAATGATTGCATCCCTGATGCTGAAGGTCACCGCGAAGGCGGGCTCCGGGGGCGACAAGCGTTGCAAGGCACCTTTCGCACCCATCACGCATTGCGTGGCTGAGTCCAACGCAATCACCGTCTCGAAGGGAATGTGCCTGGGCGGCTGCAGTGGCTCCAAGGCGAACCTCTGGAGCTCCTTGATCAGGCCTTTGTTGATGGGCACGCGGTGGTTGCACATCCACGCGAAGCTCTGCCACATAAAATTGAGGCCGCATTTGTAGAGAAGGCCAGGCCCATCTCTGTTCAGCACAGCGTTCATGTCAGCCTGCTTGAACGGCGCCTGGGCGCCTCCATCCGACATGGTCTTCGGCTCCTGCTCAACGATGTCCTTAAACACCGGGTGCTCCGCGATCTTGCTTAACGCATCGTGGACCTCGTTGATCACGGTGCGAACCATGTTTTCGTTGCTCGATCGCTGTTCCATCTCGCCAGCGGCGGCCTCCGCCACTGCGGCGCTGGTCTTATTCTGGATCCTCGGGCGCGTTCTCGGCTTGGGCTTCTCCTTCGTCGCCTGGCCGCGCTTGCCCATGGCGTCTCCCCTGGTGCCCACGGAAGTGGGGTAGTGAATTGAATGGGGCTTTGTTGCGCCAGAAAATCAAACTGACCCGAATGGCTACGGGCGCGTCGTCTCGTGGAGTTGTTATATGACATCGGGATCTTAACATATGATTAGAACAGCGATGTGCACCAGCTGCGTGGATGGATGGCGGACCCTCTGCAAGGCGCGGCTCTCGCCCGGGGCTTCCTGACAATGGCAAAGACAAATACCTGGACCTCAACCAGCGCCAGCTCACCCTGGAGGGGCGGCCGAGGGAGGGGGAAGCTCGCCAAAAACATGTTCTACCGCAAGTGCATCGGGGGGTGCACTTGACAAACCCACCCTCCCTCACGCGATCCTTGGCGTTGGGGCTTGAATATAGCACTCTCCAGGCTGCCCCAATGAACGCACGGGTAAAACTTATGTTGCTTGCACAGCGTTTTTACACTGGGCTACGCAAGCGACGGCCGCCAACATGTGGTGGCACTCCCAAAGGCGCAAATGGCTGCACCGTCGCCCGCAAGCTCCCCGGGGCGTCCGAATCGGCCGAAACAGCCGTGCCGAAAACGCCGTGGCACCTCGCTGCTCACCCTCGAGCGCGATGTCAACCATGGTCCTGTCGACGACCAGCGAGTACCATTTGCGGTGAATGACGCGCTCGTTGAGCCTGAGCGCTGGGAACACCGCATCTCCCCCGTCGTTGTAGTGGATGTCGGCGGCCCTGAGGATGAGCTCGTCAATGTCCGTGAACCCGAACTCCTCGAGCGCCCTGCGTTTCAAGCGGCTCACGTTGACGAATAGGCGACCCTGCGTGGGCCCCTCGAGGTTCGGCAACATCACCCTCTTCCACTCCTCGTTGTACCTCGCCCACGTCTCGATCTCGGGTACGCTAACGGCCGGGTGATCAGGCTGAGTGTCGGAGCTGGCGTCGCCGTCGCCGCCGTCGCCGCCGTCGGTCTTGCGGACGTAGATCCACTGGATGAGGTTCACGAGTTGGTCGTCGCCAATGGGATCTCCATCAGGGGATTGCCCGTAACGCTTGTAGATCTTCAACTCAGACCCGGCGCCGAAGTATTCCGACATCTCCTTCGTGATCGTATTCTTGATCGTCGCACCCTGGGTCATGATGTCCAACGTGCGGGGGTCGACCCGCATTGTAGTCGTCGCTGGCAGCCATGTGTTCAGCTCCATGAAGTAGGCCCAGAACCTGCCCTTCGCGGTTGTGATGGTCGACTGCTGCGTCTCGTCCCTGAGCGCGTTCTCGACTGCGTCGCGCTGGGTCGGGAGGTCGAAGAGGATGCACGTGTGGCTCGTCATTGTCTTCCGTCGAATTGGTAGTAGTGGCCAGATGGCCCCGTGTCGGATCTCTGTCTGTCTCTCTCTCTCTCTCTCTCTCTCTCTCTCTCTCTCTCTCTCTCTCTCTCTCTCTCGAGAGAGAGAGAGAGAGAGAGAGATCAAGCCTTTTAACAAGTTATGAGCCAAAGTGGCAGTGGTTCCGCTCACCCCATACCCCGCTGTCCACCCCGCGCCCGTCATTCACCCACATAGGCCCCTGCAAGGCGCCAACAGCCCCGAGAATGATTCCCAAGACGGCCCGAGATGTGCCGAGACAGCCCAGGAGGATCCAAGACGGCCCATGACGTTCTCACCAGATGGCCCACAATGGTCCAAGACGGCGCACACTTCCCCCTCCTCCTCCTCCTCCTCCCCATTCAATTGCCATAGTTGGGCTTCAGCAGCGCTGCTTCGGCGCACACTTGGCGCGCCCCATGGACTGGTGTCACGGCGGTCCACAGCATGCGGAGGTGCCGAAGCTCGGCGTCGACGTGGGCCAAGTGTTGAGCAAGAAGGGTGTGTCAGCAGACGGTGTCGGGTTGGAATGCATGCCTCGCGCCACAAAAGGTGTACTTAACGATGTTAATTACACCTAGTGCTGGCACAAAGGCTTGCAGCATTCGCAGCCCCGAGGTGATGGCTGTTGGCAATCAATGTCAGACGGCGCCTACTCGTTCCTCGTGCTGTTCATGGCTAAATATGGAACCGACGATGTTCACGTGATTTCTCGAACAAATACAGGGAAATGGACTTCCTGGCACCGAGGCAATGAGATCGAGTGCTACGTCGTGAGGTTCCTCAGGCAGCGTGGCACCATGCACCTCGGCATGGAAGCTCGCCAGATTTCCGTCGCGTCGAAGAAGAGCGGCTGGAATGGCAAAGGGATTCCTGCAAAGCGGGCCGGGATCACGCACATGCTTGACAACGATCCAGAGTGCCTGTATTCCGTGCTCTTGGACCAGACGGGCCAGAACGCATACAAAATGATCACATCCTACGATAATGGCTCGCCTGGCGCGCTCTTCCAGTTCACCAAGCACGAGGCAACTGAACCGCCATGGTGGATGAAAGTTATCCCGGAGGAGGCCATGACGGCCATGGCGACCCACCTGCGCAAGATCAGCAACTGGTTTGAGCTGGCCAACTACTTCGATCTGCCGTACAGGTACGAGCTTTGGCAGGAAATTCGGAAATAGGGGCCACCTCACAAACAACCTGAGAAGATGTCCGCACAAGAAGTGATCGACATGTGCAATGGGTCTAAACTTGTGTTCTATCAGTCCGAGGACGAAAAGCCACAGATGGGTGACGCCCCGGACGATGCTCGTGGCAGTCAGTGCTCTGCGGAGCCGTATCAACAACATCATCCCGCCACGGACTACATGCACGACGAAGTGGAGGAGGCGGACACCTGGGTCAATAATAAGATTAATGATGATGGCAAGTCGTGGTACTATTATCCACAGCAGCCCAACGACCATCATCAATATGACAACATGTCGTGGCAGTCCGCGGGCTATCCAGAAGATGCCGACACGTGGCAGCAGCCCGCAGGTCAGCCCGCGGAGGAGTACGCCGACGAGATTCCACAGGCGGAGGGTGTTGGCATTGGCTCGCCAGACACAGGATCCCCACGGCCAACGCTCGGCGGCGGCGGCAGCCCACATACCAGCCTGCCAGGAAGCATGCCAGGCAGCGCCTGCCAGGCAGCCTACGAGGAGCAGATCAAACAGCTAAGCGCGACGGTTGCAGCACTCCGTAACGACGTGATGCAAGCGGTGGACGCTGCAACCGTGGCTGCACAAGCCGCACAATGTGCGGCGCACAATGCGGCCACGGCGCAGCACGCCCAGTTCAGCATGCCACAGCCGCATGTCTGCAGCGTGCCAGTGCAGCCGCAGCCACCACCAACCGCGCCTCCTGCTTGGGTTGGGTGGAAGCAGAGCAGTCGACAAGCGCCAGCCTGGCTAGAGAAGAAAGCGGCTCGTGCTGCACGCTACGCGGCAGGCGACAGGCCACCGCAAGGAGCAAACGCGCCATCGCTGCCGATGTGCAAGTGGTGCGGTAAAAACCAACCGGGGCGCCATTGCATTTACGAGGCCTGTAGGTCCTGCTGCGACTCCTACAGGCAGGAACTGGGGGCCGCGTCCAAGCGGCGCTGGCAGCATGACGCTGCGTAGATTTGCCAGCAGGTTTTTGTGAACGGCTGCTTCGGCCGAACTTAATTCGCCATGCCTTGCCACAGGGGCCGGGTGTGCATCCCGGGAGGCGGCCGCTGGGTGTCATGGGCCCGCGGAGGCCTCGGCTGGCGCGAGGCGGCCGTTGTGATCATCGGTCCGCGGGCGCCTCGGCTGGCCCGGCCTGGCACTGTGCAAAAGCGCCGTCCTCCTCCGCCTCCCCCATCCGAGTTCCCATCCCCCCTTCCCCCTTCTTCCACCTCCTCGTCCTCATCATCATCATTCGCCCAGCCGACCACCGTATCCCAGAACCAGGATTGAACCACCCATTAATATCTTCACTACCCACGGGAACGCGTCGGGCATTTATCTACTTTCAGCGGCCCTCCGACGATCAGCTGTTTCGGCTCGATGGTTTCGGCACCTCTGTTTCGGCGCTGCACCGCTGAAGTCATGTGCTCAGAGCTGATGCGGTCTATCGGGTCTGCCAGTAGCACTTGCAACCCTGAGGCTCCGAACCAGCTCATCTCATGTGATGACATCTCCGATGATTGCAAATACTGGCAGGACATTGCGCCCTCCGCAGGGCCAGCGGTGCTACTTGGCCAGGCGACGCTTCACCTGAACCGTGCGTCGTCCATGCTGCGCAAGCTTTCAGAGAAGCTTGGGCAGGACAAGGAGTTGCTGGCCTACCAAGCCAATCAACTGGCGGATCACAAGTCATTGCTGCAGATCCACCAGAACTGGCCGCACATTCTGGAGCGCGGGATCGCCATGAAGTGGCGCGCGCAGATCATCGCCCACCTCGACTCCCAGATCAGGGCGGTGCGCACGTTCGTGGCGACCCTCATCACGATGCAGAGCTTGGTCGCGGGCCTTTCGCCGCATATCATGGGGCCGTTCCAATCGGGCAGCGACGTGCTCGGT